AGCTAATCGGTCTAGTGGAGGTAATCGGCAACAGGCGGTCTCTCAAGTACCCAGGGCCAATACCATGACGGGCTGTATAAGTGACAACTAGCGCCTTGAAGCGTATCCGGAGACCAATAGGCAGCCAGTGCAGCTCGCGGAGGATAGGTGTTACATGGGTGAACCCACGTTGTATTGAAAACGCATCCCCAGAATTTTAATATTGTTAGAGGTGATAGCTGGGAAAGCCACTGTAGATCAGAGGTAAGTTAGGTTTTGATGTCAAATATTAGAATTACTAATTTTAAGCAAGATAGCTATAACCTTAAAATATAAGAACTTTATAACCACTCCTGCCCCCCAATTAGCTTTTCTTCAGTTATGTGAATTTAACCACTTCTACTTGTTTTCCCCCTTATTTCATAAAGTCTATTTTGGTTTTGCTAACCATGGAAGGAGCAAGGACTGATCACTATATTTAGAATCAATGTACCAGTGGGATCATAACCCATTCTTTTCAAGGAAATCCTTGCCACCTCAACGGGACTTTATTGAAAGTTTCATTCCGTTTATCTGCTCTGCATATATTCTAAAGAAAGCATATATTTAAAATAAAGCATTTTAATTATACTTTTATGGAATACCATATATCCGTGTGGAAAAATGTGGAATTAAGAGTAGAACAGGACAAGGTAGGAATATTTTCATTCCTTTGTGCACAAAAAAATAAAATTCAAGGAAAGATGATTAAATCACTCATTAAAAATATTTTTCATTGTCATACCTCAGAAATGTTTTTGCTTGTTCTAGATGAGGTGTAACAAGCAGAAAATCATCCGTTAAACGCATCAGTAATCTGTAATGTTAAAAAACAATATCTTGGTCTTGGGTACGTTTAAATTTTAAACCATGAATGCATTATTTCTCAATTGCTTGAGGTAAAGGTAATATACATATCACTATTACATATTCTATTATCCAAAGCTGCATTATAAAAAAAATGGGCCAATGCTCTAAATTAACCTTCACCCATAAATAAAATTGTCAGACACACAAAAACCAGTATTGTAATTTCTGATCTTCCATCACAATGATGGATGAATCCAATTGCTGTGTTTAATTCCCATATGATGAGAAGCTGATTGGACTTGAATCTGGGCAGAGGAATACTTTGGGGGGGGGGGGGGAAACCTAACTCAAAACTTTTCTGACAACTTAAATAAGGATAA